AACAAAAGTACACGGATGGAGATGGACGAAGTCGGGGGTCGATGGACATCTCTAGGACAAATGAAGGCTACACGAGCTGCGGCCCGGTAGTCGAGATGTCATGCCACAGGGCCGGTGTCCTGCTGCTAGGGGCTCAGTCCTGCCTACCTGTCCCGGGGGTCCCGGCCGTAAGTGGGGTTGGGTCGGTACTCTTGTCTATGGCTAGGATGGGTTGGAAACTATGTCACGTCTTTCGTCCATATACCGTGGTGGTATGTGGCACGTGGTTACACGTGAGAGAGATGTGTCTTGTGGGTAAAGATGTACACCTCTGATCAGAGTATAATCTATTCGAATAGCCGCGCCCTCGGTTATGGGCAAGCCGAGCAATGTACCCAAGTTAGTGTTTTAATTCTTAAAACCTGCCTAACAACTAAAATGTGGAATGGTTGGCCTGGGTTGGCTTGGGACGAGCTGGGACCCAGGGTCGGGTTGCCAGTTCGGTCTGAATCATCGTACGCCTTGGGTTAAGGCAGGTTCGTGAGGGTTCACGGCCTTGATTAATAACACTGTGTAACTCTAGGATCGTCTTTATAAAATGGCTTTGGGCAACTAAGTGACTTTTAAATGCTGTTTTCTGCAAAACTTAACCCCTATATTATTACCCCTTGTACCCCCTTGCTTTAATCATGCATCTGCCGGTGGCTTGCTGAGTACTGTGGTTGTACTCATTCTTGCTCAATCTCTCCCCCCCCCCTTCAGTAAGAGAAGCTTTGGAGAAGAAGTCTTTGGTGGAGTCCTGGCTTATACCCCAGTTGAGCTGTCACGTCCTGATAAATTCATCCCGAATTAAAAATCATTCGCTAAAAGGAATAATAGAATTAATTAAAATTCGAAAATAAATTGGCAAACACTAAAATACGTACAAGAAAAAAATTCGAATGTGGCCCGGAGAATTTTTGTTAAATTCTCCTTGGTCTAAAAGGAGCCCTCAAATTTTACTTGAATTTTCAGAGCACCGGAAATAATTATTAAGCAACAAAAACAATTATCAAAGTTTATTAAAAAGAAAAAGCTAAAAATAATCCCTCTCCCTCCTTTGGGCCAAGTCTGGCCCAAAGCCTCCCTCTCTCTCCCTCGGCCTGCGGCGGAAGTCCTCTCTTCCTCCCTCTCTTTCTCTCCCTCTCCTTCTCTCCCTCCTTCTCTTGGGCTCCCCTTCCCCTCGGCCCAGCTTCCTCCTCCCTCTCTCTCCCGGGCTGCCTCTCCCTCCTCTCCTCCTGGGCCGGCCGCTCGGCCCAAGCCGCGCCCCCTGCCCGAGCCGCCCCTCCCTCCCGCGTGCACGCGCGTCGCACGCGCGCTGAGCACGCGCCCCTCGTGGGACCCGCCTGCTAGGCGCTTCTTCCTCCTCCCGCACAGCTCCTCTCTCTCTCCCGTGAACCCTAGTTTCTTGCTCTCTCGAATCCGCGCGATTCAAGCGTTGGATTCCAAAATTAATTGGGGGGAATTAATCCCCTTTCCATCCTCTTTGAATTCCCCCGTTTTCCCCCTTGAATGGCGCCCCCAATCGTCGGGAACGGCCGCGCTTTTCCCGGCCACCAACCATGGCCGCCGGCCGTGTTTCCCGTCGCCGTTCCGCCCTCTCCCGTGCCCGGCTCCCTCCCCCATCCTATAAAATGGAACCACCTCGGTACGTTCTCCAGTTTTAGCCCCCTCCCGCGCTCTCTCGTGGCCGCCCCGCCTCTCCCCGCCGTCGTCCTCTCTCTCCCGTGCCGCCGGCCACCTCCAGCCGCCTCTCCCTCCTCGCCGGAGCGTCGTCCGGTCGCGCCGTCGCCGCCAGCAGCATCGCAGCTGCTTCCCCTCCACCGGCGTCGCCTCCGTTTCACGCGGAGACCACCGGAGACGCGTCCCCGCTGGCAACCAGTGGCATTGGTGCCACTGTACTCCCTCCAGCCGGCTGCTGTCCCTCGTCGGAGCGTCGGCCGACGTCGCCGTCTCCTTCGTCGGTGCCGTGGCATCGTCTCCTTCCCCGGCCACACCTCGGTTTCGCCGGAACACCGCCGTGTCGCCACCAACCCCTCCACCCGCCTCGCCGGAGTCCTCCGGCCGCCCGTTCCTCCTCGCTTGTTTACCGGTCAGCCACGGCACCACCACCTCCGGCATCGCAGCGGCAAGGTCGCCCTCGGCCTCGCCTCCCCTTCGACCAAACCCCTCCGCGGTCCATCGTCGTTGTCTCCGTTCGTTCTCGTCGTCGACGTCCCGTCAGTCGCCGGCTCGTCGTCTCGCGGCGCCGCCTCCGTCGTCGGCATCGCAGCGGCGTGTTCCACGCCATCCTCGCCTCCGTGCAGCCGCTGCCGGCTGCCCTCGTCGCCTCCTCGCCGGCCCCGGTCGTCGTCGTCGTCGTCCTCTCGTCGCTCCCGGTCGTCGTGGCGTTCGTCCCTCCGTCGAGCCGTTCTCGTCCGCCGCCCGCGTTTCGTCAAGTGTGCAGCAGCCCCGTCGTCGTCTTCGTCCTCGGCTCCGCGTCGTCAAGCCTCGTGCCGGCCGCGTCTCGCCTTCGTCCAAGGATCGCCGCCGAAGTCGTCCCCTCGCCGTTCGTCTCCGTAGTTCCCGGCCGCCTCCGCCGCGCCCGTTCATCGTTGTCGTTCCCACGCCTCGTCGCGTGGTGGTAAGGATCCCTCTCCCTCGCTGCCCCGTCCTCGTCCTTTCGGTGTCGCCCGTGCTCGTTGTGCGGTTGTCGGCCCCGGTACCCGTGTACCGGTGTCGGTAGTCGTTCGCTTGTGCGTGTGGTGACCGTGTTTGTGTGCCCGCTCGGTAGCCGCGTGGTTTCTACGTGTGCAGCCCGTGTGGTGTCTAGTGGAGTCCGTTTGTCGGCCACTCGCCTCGGTTGACACACGGGATCTGCTTCCGTCGATCCGTGGACCGTCTCTGTGTACTCGGTCTACCGCGGTCCTTTAGGTTGACATGTGGGGTCCGCATGTCAACGGCGCAGCCTTCTTGTCTTTTCCAGGCTAGCGCTTACACATGTTTTATAATTGCAAAGCTTAACTATAATAATCCGCAAATCTCCATATAACAGCATTAAACTTCGGATGATCATATCTTGGTCATACGAACTCTGAATCGACCCGTTCAAGTCTCCTAATGTTTGTTATAACCTAAAGAACCGTGTGCTTTCTTTTTATGTATTGTTATTGCTTCTTTATAGGCTTGTAGCTTTGCTTGTGTGCTTCGCGTAGCTTCTGTCGTTCCGGAGGTTCCCGAAGCGTGGTTCGCGGTCGTCGCCGAAGGTTCGGAAGGCCGTTCTCTCTGAGCAAGGCAAGTCACATCATCCTTGAGCATATTGAATCCCAGTTTATAAAATTATTTTGAGTTAAATTAATGCATTACCGCTTTATTTAAATTCCCGCGTTATCACTGTTTTATTTAGCCATGCCTATTTATCATTGTTAAGACATTATTATTGCTATTGTTATTATTACCTTGTTCACCCTAGGAAAATCAAACCCCAACTAGTGGGTACTCTATTCATGGTCCCACTAGTATGAATTTAGGTAGATGCTTCGCTGATTAATTAGGGAACATTAGGTGGTTTTTATAACTTTAGACTTTGGGAATTCTCATATCATTTGGACACTATGGAATGGTTGGCTTATGTTGGAATTGGACACACACCTCACCCTCTATTCAAAACCCCCAAAATGGTTTTAGGCTGGGCTCGAGGTGCGTGGTTGGGTTTTGTTAGTCGTACCTCGGGTACTATAAGGATTAAGCTCGGGCCTCTGTTGCAAAGCACTACCGTACTTCCACATGTCTAGTGGGTAAGGCTTAGTTTGTGGCTCAGTCTGGTTATAAACAAAAGTACACGGATGGAGATGGACGAAGTCGGGGGTCGATGGACATCTCTAGGACAAATGAAGGCTACACGAGCTGCGGCCCGGTAGTCGAGATGTCATGGCACAGGGCCGGTGTCCTGCTGCTAGGGGGCTCAATCCTGCCTGCCTGTCCCGGGGGTTCCGGCCATAGGTGGGGTTGGGTCGGTACTCTTGTCTATGGCTAGGATGGGTTGGAAACTATGTCACGTCTTCCGTCCGTATACCGTGGTGGTATGTGGCACGTGGTTACACGTGAGGAAGATATGTCTTGTGGGTAAAGATGTACACCTCTGATCAGAGTATAATCTATTCGAATAGCCACGCCCTCGGTTATGGGCAAGCCGAGCAATGTAGCCAAGTTAGTGTTTTAATTCTTAAAACCTGCTTAACAACTAAAATGTGGAATGGTTGGCCTGGGTTGGCTTGGGACGAGCTGGGACCCAGGGTCGGGTTGCCAGTTCGGTCTGAATCATCGTAGGCCTTGGGTTAAGGCAGGTTCGTGTGGGTTCACGGCCTTGATTAATAATACTGTGTAGCTCTAGGATCGTGTTTATAAAATGACTTTGGGCAACTGAGTGACTTTTAAATGCTGTTTTCTGCAAAATTTAACCCCTATATCATTACCCCTTGTACCCCCTTGCATTAATCATGCATCTGCCGGTGTGGCTTGCTGAGTACTGTGGTTGTACTCATTCTTGCTCTACCTTTCCCCCCTTCAGTAAGAGAAACTTTGGAGAAGAAGTCTTAGGTGGAGTCCTGGCTTATACCCCAGTTGAGCGCCTGTGAAGATGGAGCCGTAGGCCCGCTAGTCCGCTGCTATTTATTTTTGATTGCCAGGCCTGAAGCGCCTTTGTAATAATGTAAATATTATCGATATAATAAAGATGTGTCTTTTATATCATGTTTGTGTGGTGTACCCCGGCTTTTCCTGGGACGGGGATTAATACACTAGCGTTCGGGAAAAGGCAATTTTCTCGGTCGCGACAGAGCGCCTGTGAAGATGGAGCCGCAGGCCCGCTAGTCCGCTGCTGTTTATTTTTGATTGTCAGGCCTTAAGTGCCTTTGTAATAATGTAAATATTATCGATATAATAAAGATGTGTCTTTTATATCATATTTGTGTGTGGTGTACCCCGGCTTTTCCTGGGACGGGGATTAATACACTAGCGTTCGGGAAAATGTATTTTTCTCAGTCGTGACATAAAGCCAGCCGATAATCTGCCTGCTATTGATCCAGACATGGAAGAAGTCTTGGCTGAGGAAGAGATTGAAGAAGCTGTCGATGAAGCAGCTGCTGAGTTGAGCGAGGCACGAGAACAAACACCACCAGCCGATATCCCGGCTCCTCAAAGAACGCCTCCAACACCAATTGCCCTAGCTCGGCAAACCAGGGTAAGCACTTCTGTTCAAACTTGATGCAAGTAAAATTTTCATGTGCTGATTTCTCTTATTAATACTTGATTTTTGCAGCAAAAGAAATCTGCTGGAAGGAAAAAGCCAGCACCAGTACCATCTCCAGCTCCATCGGTAACTTTATTTCTCTGAAATCTTATGTTAAACTCAGCCGATGTTAACTAGTAATTGTATCTTCTTAATTGTATCTTCTTTCAGCCTTCTCCTCCTTCACCTCCTGCCCAGCCAGCATCTAGTGAACATACTCCATCGGCTGCAAGCAGTCACAATGTAGAAGAAGAAGTCCAAGCCCCTCCTACTATCACTGTAAGTTTCTTTCTTCAAGAAGTCTCATATCGGCTGTATACAAAATTTTCATGTACTTAACATCTTCATTTGTTTCTTTTTTAGGTCTTGGCCGATATGTTCTCCTTTGATATTCGGCAATACTTCGATGAAGAAGAGGAAGACACCACTAGCAAGGCTCTTGCCCCTCTAACTGATGATGTGAAAAGGAATCTCCAAGATATATCAACTCGGTTGGAGGCCTCTCTAGATGTATTGGTCGCCTACTGTGGATCAATAAGAACTAGGTTCAATGAAATCCAAGACTTGATCCCATAAGACTTGGTTGCTGCACTGACTCCGGCTGCTTTCCTTGAGCAACATCAATTTAAATTAGAGAAAGCAAGGCAAAGGATAGCTGATCGGCGAGAAAGAAAAGACATTGAAGCAACTATCCAAGCCAATCGGCTGTCCGTGAACAAGGAGAAGGCAAGGTTAGATCAGCTATCCATTGGGCCGGTGCCTATTCAATCCAATATAGATCGGCTAGAATCTCGAAGGATTGAGGTCTTGGCTCAGCTTGAAGAGTGCAACACCGAGTTAGCCTTAAAGAGGCAAAAGTTAGCCGATCTGCCCAAGGTTGTTGAAGAACAGAAGTTGAAGTTGAAGGCTACCATCAGAAATGTTGCCGATCTAACCAAGTCCTTGAAGTTTGTTCCTGGAACCGACGCCCAAGATGAAGTGGAGCAAATTAGGCAGAGGGCAATATCGGCTATTCAAAGATACCTTGCCGATTGAACTGATGATATGTAATAGGACTTAGAAATATTTTTGTAACTGGCTTTAAAACTCTTGTGCTTCCGTAGTTTGCTCTCATGAACTTGATGCCGATTAATATAACTTTTGTTTTTGATGTCCATATTTTTTGTATATGTATGGCCCCTTAATTTTACCATGTTGACAAACATTGATAAAATTAAAATACCAACTAAGGACGATACAACAAACATCGGCCATCATACATCGGCAAAGCACAACCGATTATGATAAGTGAAAAAACACTAAGGGTGATATAACACATATCGGCCATCATACATCGGCAAAATACAACCGATTATGATAAAATAAGAAGTCTAAGGGCGATATGAGTCATATCGGCCATCTAAAGGCAATGTAAACACCTCGGCTGTCATGTATCGACACAATCGTAGCCGAATCATGAATGGATCCATACACTTGGATAATATTTCTTCAAATACTTTCCATTAAGAGCTCTGCCGAAAATTTCTCCATCAAGTCCTTGCAACATATAAGCCCCTTTAGAAATAGACTTATAAATTTGAAACGGTCCTTCCCAATTCGGCGACCACTTGTCGAATTTGTTGTCACGTGTGCCAATCGGCTAGATCAACTTTCAAACCAACTCTTCTTCCGAAAATGATTTCGGCACAACCTTCTTGTTATAATGTCGAGCAGTTCTCTCCTTATCTCTCACCACCTTCTCCAAAGCACGCAATCTTGATTGCACTAAGTCCTCCAATTCATCTACCATAAGATTATGATAATCATCGGCTGTCAACTCATCTTGAAAATCAATCCTCCTCGATCCAATTTTAGTTTCCCACGGTAAAATTGCCTAATATCCATAAACCAACTTGTAAGGAGGAACTTGAATTGAACCATGACAAGCCATCCGATAAGCCCATAATACCTTAGCCAATCGGCTATGCCACTACCTTGGAAAATCGGCAATCTTCCTCTCGATCAGCTTAATCAAACTCTTGTTATATGCCTATGCCGGCCCATTAGCTTGTGCATAATATGGTGAAGAGTTCAACAACTTAATCCCCAAGCTTTTCGCAAACTGAACAAATTCATCCGAAACAAAAATTGATCCCTGGTCGGTTGTAATAGTCTGAGGAACTCCAAATCAATTGATAATATGTTTTTTGACAAACTGAATTGCATCCCCAGAATCAACTTTCTTCAAAGGAATTACCTCAACCCACTTCATGAAATAATCGGTTGCCACCAAAATATACTTATGTCCTTTACTCGAAGGTGGATTAATCTGGCCGATCATATCAATCCCCCAACCTCTAAACGGCCATGGCTTGATAATCGGATTCATAACCGATGCTGGTGCTCTTTGAATTGCTCCAAACTTCTAACAATCTTGGCATCCCTTGTAATATCTAAAACAATCTTCCAACATCATCGGCCAAAAATATCCAACTCTGCGAAGCAACCACTTCATCTTTTGAGTTGATTGGTGAGTACTACATATGCCTTCATGCACTTCTCCCATCTCAACCTTAGCTTGATTGGTACTCAAACACTTGAACAACACTCCATCAATCGTTCGATAATACAACTCATAATCCAACAAGAAAAATCGCAAGGCCTTATATTTTAACTTCCTTGCAGCCGATTGAGAAGGATTTTTGAGATAATTGTATACATCATACCTCCAATCATCAGCTGTAATGGTAGCAACTTCAATTTCAATATCTTTAACCATCGGTTTGTATCCCGATGCCCCCTGTGCCAAATCATTTGTCTGCATATTTTGCTCTCGAGAAACATTCTTCAAAGTCACCAGCCGAAAACTATCCATCAACTCACAGCACTTCTCATTGTATATCATCAATGTATCCTTCTTGCATTCATATTCCCTAGCTAATCGGCTAATAGCTAACAGAGAATCACCTATGATTTCAATGGCATCGGCTTCAACCTCCTTCAAAAGTTGCAAACCCTTGAGAACTGCTTCATACTCGGCTTGATTGTTAGTAGCATAAAGCTTGATAGTACAAGCAAACTCAAAACTTGCTCCCCTTGGTGAAATTATGACTAAACCGATACCACACCAGGAGTGCAAACAGATCCATCAAAAAATAATGTCCAAGGCATAATATCAACCGAGCCGATTGAGTCATCATGATGCTCAACAATAAAATCGGCTAAAGCTTGCCCCTTGCCTGCCTTGGGTGACTCATACCTAAGATCAAATTCGGTCAAGGCAAAAATCCACTTTTCAACTCTCCCTTTCAACACTGGAGCCGATAGCATATACTTCACCACATCGGTCTTGCAAACTATGGTGCACTCATTGGATAACAGATAATGCCTCAACTTTGTGCATGAAAAATACAGGCATAAGCATAATTTCTCCACAGCTGAATACCTGGTCTCTGGATCAAGAAGCCTCCTACTGAGATAAAATATTGCTCTTTCCTTTCCTTCAAATTCTTGGATCAAGACTGAGCCGATTGACTTCTCATCGGCTGACAAGTACAACTTGAAAGCCACTCCCTTCTGTGGAGGAATTAAAACTGGAGGAGAACTCAAATATTCCTTGATATTGTCCAAAGCCTTCTACTATTCTGCCCCCCATAAGAATTCTTGGTCGGCCTTCAATCTGAGTAAAGGTGTAAAAGGCGCCATCTTCCCAGATAAGTTAGAAATAAATCTTCTGATAAAATTAATCTTCCCGACCAATGATTGCAATTTCTTCTTGTCCTCTGGAGGTTCAATGTTCTTGATTGCATTAATGCTTCTCTGTGTAACTTCAATGCCTCTCTCATGAATAAGAAATCCCAAGAATTGTCCACCCAATACGCCAAAAGCACACTTGGTAGGGTTTATCTAAATGCCATATTTTCTTGTTCTCTCAAATACCTTCCTCAAATCGGCTATATGATCAGCAATCTCCTTGGATTTGACAACTACATCATCGATATAGATTTCAACCAGTAAGCCGATTAGATCATGAAAGATGTAATTCATAGCTAATTGATATGTAGCTCCAGCGCTCTTCAATCCAAGTCATTACAACACACTCGTACAAGCCGATTGCACCAGGACAATGAAAAGCAGTGTCATGAATATCTTCTTCGGCCATAAAAATTTGATTATATCCAGCATTGCCATCCATAAAACTTATAATCTTATGTCCTGAAGCAGCATCTACCAATTGATCAGCAATCGGCATTGGGTATTCATCCTTAGGGGTAGCCTTGTTTAAACCTTGAAAATCAATACAAACCCTAAGTTTACCGTTTTTCTTGATTACTAGAACTATATTAGAGACCCACTCAGCATATCGGCATGGCCGAATAAAACCAACATCATAAAAACGTTTAATTTCAGCTTTGATAGCATCATACATATCGGCTTTACATCTTCTAGGTGGTTGTTTATACGGCTGATATCCTAGTTTGATAGGCAGCCGATGTTCAACAATCGATCGGCTAATTCCTGGCATCTCAAAATACTCCCAAGCAAAGCAATCCCTGTATTGAGTAAAGTCCATCACCGGTCCCTAAACTTATACCGCTGTGTCTTCCCGGTCCCTAAACTCACAAATCGTCTGTTCAGGTCCTCAAACTTGTTCAACTGTGTCATCCCGGTCCCTAAACTTGCAGATCACTCGTTTAGGTCCTCCAACTTGTTCAGTTGTGTCACCCCGGTCCCTAAACAGGATGGTCTAAAAACTTTATATCAAAAAATAATTCATAACTTTTTCATGTGAACTCTAATGAAGACAAACTTTTTTTTAAAATTGTAGCCCTCGACGCGACCTACAACTTTGTAGTTGAAAAGTTTTTGAATTAAAACTGTTTATGGTCCCAGAATATTGTTGCATGTTTATAGATTTTGAAATTTTAATTTTAAAATTACATTTTGGGACAAAAAATGACTTAAAATAGAAAAAATTCAACTACAAATTGTACATTGCGTCGAGGGCTACAATTTTGATATAAAGTTTGTCTTCATTAGAGTTCACATGAAAAAGTTATGAATTATTTTTAAATATAAACTCCCTTGGTCTTCGAAGGATTGCCACCGAAATCTTTGAGAACCATATTAGTCTTGATGAGATCATCTGCAGTCTTTCCCAACTTCTTGAATGTAGCATATGGCATCAAATTAATCGCAGCTCCACCATCAACCAACATCTTGGAAATCGGCTTGCCATTGACAAATCCCTTAACATACAATGGCTTAAGATACCGATTCTCAGCTCCCTCTAGCTTCTCAAAAATAGCTTGCTCAGGTGACAAAACCAACTTAGCCAAGGATTCTTCTACTATATCTTCTTCCACATCGGCTTGATCAACTCCAAACTCTGCTGGCAGCACAAAAACCATGTTAATCGATGTAGAAGCAACAGCTTTTCCCTTAGCCAACCTCTTTGCCTTGTCGGCTTTAACTTTATCGGCTGACACCACCTTGCTCTTCACACGCCACTCTTGCTTTGGCTTGGCCTTGTTCAGCCGATGATTGATTTCTTCCTCAACTTCTTCAAATTGCTCCCTGTTCCACATCCTCTGAACCCTTCTCTTCTGATTTTTAGTGAAAATACCTGAAGGACACCATTGTTTCTTTCCAATCTTCTCTCCTTCATTAGCAGATTCATCCTGAAAGAAGTTTTCATGAATAGGGCCCAACCTCTGATGAACAAGCAACTTCTTCTGAGGTAGCCGATTCTTCCTAGGAAATCAATCGGTTCAGTTTTAATCCAAGAAGTGGCAGGAAAAGAGAGGATTATTTTTTATTTAAGCTACAGACTTTTGGATGCAGAAACAAGGTATTCTCCAGTGGAGAAGTTGTGCTTATGTTTATAAAGTTAAGGCATTATTTGCTGTCCAATGAGTGCACTATAGTATATAAAGCCGACGTGATCAAGTACATGCTATCGGCTCCAGTTTTGAAAGGGAGAGTTGGGAAGTGGATTTATGCTTTAATAATATATGATCTTAGATATGAGTCACCCAAGGCAGTCAAGGGGCAGGCTATAGCCGATTTTATTGTTGAACATCGTGATGACTCGATCGGTTTGCACTCATGGTTGTGTGTCGCGACCGGGAAAATTGCCTTTTC